GACAATAAATAAACTAAAAAAAAAAAAAAGAAAGGATCGCATTTTGTATTATACGATGGTAGACTTCAAATTGTATCTATTATTGCTAAAATGATATTTCAGTGAAATTCTTTTCATAATATCCCAAGGATTCTCATGGAAATATTTGAAAAAGATATCAATGAAACTATTAATTTATGATTGTCACTGCAAATATTTACAAACTTTTTCTATCAGATATTTTATATTCAAAAATTCAAAAATGAAATTTAAATTTCAAGATTATTCTAAATCTTAGTGCCACAATATGTCCATAACAGTGGTTATGATAGTGCCTGCGGCCAGGTGGAAAGACAAATTAATCAATTCGTGATACCAATGCTACAGTTATTATGTCTTTCCGGTAATATTCTAAATTTGCTTATCTATCGATTACCTTACTTTCGAGGTAGCACATCGGTTCATTTCCTTAAAGTGAAAGCTTATGCTAATTTGGTATTTGTTGAATCCAGAATTTTCGAGGTTAGTTTTCAACATTTTTTCAAAATGATCCTGCAATAATTAAAATTTTAATTTTTTTTCCTTCTTTTTATGATTTCAATTTTTTCAAACTTTAAATATACAAAATTATGACGACTAACTTTTTTAGTTTTTCAATTTTTTAACATTTTTGAATATTTGAAACCAGTGTAAAAGAAATTTAAGACAATTTTTGCAAGGTAATACATGCATGGAATGTGCATGCAGATCCTGCATTTGAAACGTTTTATTGGTACACAAAGCCATACGTGATTGCAATGGCTAGCATAAGCGGTACAATATCCACGTGGTTCGTCATAATATTTTCACGTCACTTTTTTGATGAATTAAATTTAAATTTCAAGATATGTAAAGATAATTCGAACTAATATTAAACTGTCAACTAATTTCAATATTTTGAATCAGATTTCAATGTCTGAAATTTGATCCCATCAACTTGAAATAAAATGAATCAGATTTACTTTAATCAAATTTTTAGTTCAAAATGATTGTATCTTAGGAAAACAAAAAACGGAAATTTTCGATCCTAAACATATTTTTCAACTAAACCTTTATAAAAACTATCACATCGATAATTTGATCAATTTCAGGATGACATTAGTGATAACAATTGAAACGGTACTCTGTGTATTATTACCATTTCATTTCCGCCAAATTTGCACAAAATTAACAAGTTTGATAATACTACTTGGCTTCATGCTATGCAGCATTCTTTTGCATATACCATTTGTATTCAGTCAAACAGTTATCAGCAGTCCGATATTAAAGGAACTGGAAAGTCGACATCATAATAGGTTCTTGAAAATATAAAAAGGAATGGAAAAAAATTTCCATTTAAATTTGCTTTTATTTCTAATAGAATGATACATTTCATATTTATTTTAATTAAATTTAACATTTTTATCAGATGCTATTGGATCACAAATCAATATTTTATGCAAACCTATAGGGAACCATTTTATGAGTATATACAAAAAACATATTATTGGTTGCAAATAACACTTTCTATTCTTATCCCAAATATTGCTATGCTTGCATGCTCCGTATTAATCGTCACGCAATTTAGTTTTAAGGTAATTTATTTATTTTATTATAGGTAGGTTATCATAGATAACACTTACTACCGTAGACTATATACCGCAGATTATATGTCGTAAACGGTACCGTAGACTATACACCATTACCTATATACTGTAAACAATACTATCTATTCAAATCGATTATCGGTCTTCATTTATTCAATATAAAACATTCAAAAACTACAATGAAATTCGAATTCTTGAGCATATGAAAGTGATGCATGCAAAACTATCAAACAGTAACTTCAGAACCATGGCGAGTCATTTAGTCAACGTCGAAAATGTGTAATTAGAATGACCGTTGCGACAACACTATCACATCTTATATTGGAAGGACCCGCACTGTTAACATTTGCTGCTGTTGCAAGAAAAGGTTATTTGCCCAGTTTGAATTGATTTTTAGTTATTAGTATAAATATCAATAAATTCGTAAAATTTCGCTTGAAGTTTAATTTTTTCCATTTTTTAATTTCAAATGTTGAAAATTGATGTACTGAAGTTAAATTTGATCTGAGAAAATTTTAGAATTTAAAAAGTATTTGTAGTAAAATAAAATCCAAATTTGATATTTATAAAACAATTAGAAAATTTCTGAAATAATTAATGATAGGATACGCTTTTTTTACAAAAATAATTCATTCACATATGAAAAACTTTTTCTTTTTTTTTCTTCTTTTTTTTTTTTTTTTATAGGCGCAGATAGTTCGGATCATGGCAGTAATATTTGTATACTAGCACATAGCAATAATCTGTTATCAGTAATTAATGCTGCAACGCCATTCTTTGTATTTCTTGCATTCAACGAGCAATTCCGTCGTACGTCATCGGTATTCATACAAGTTCACTTCGTACCCCAACGTTTCATGAAGAAAGCATCCGTACCCCCGCAATTACAAGGTGTTAGTTCATCCATGAAACTGATTAACAACGCCAATCCATTCCCAAGCAATTGTACACATTTCTAGAATGTTACTCTCTTATCTTTTATTAAATGCGCACCTCTTCTTTTTCTTTTACAAAAGTGGACACACTATTTGTTTTGTTATTATGATTAGCTTAGCTTTCAGTCTATTTATTTTTCCCTTTTTTCTTCTTTTTTTTTTTCAAAATGAAATTTCTACAAATTGTAAGTAAGAATTTCGTTAACTTTAACGAAATCCTTATTCTATCATTTTAACGATTGATAAAGAAGTAAACAATTAAAGATGAAAAATAAAATGATTATCATTAAAGAAATTATTCTTGGACGTAATATAATATGTTGGACTAACTATGGAAACAAAATGAAAAATAAAAAAAGAAAAGATTGTTTGCTAAAATAATTTCCTTACTTGTTACGTATTTTTTCTTTAAATTTCATCATTTTATTCTTTGATTATATTTTGTCTGATCTTTTGACACTTTTCTAAACCACTTCATTTCAATGAATTCAACAAACTCGACAATGATTATTTGTTTGTTTGTACTTCTTCATGCTATTTGTTACATTCATATAAACAGCTTTTGATCTCACCGCTCAAACATTTGTTTTTCGTCTTTTCATAACTTTTCTACAAATCCTATTACTTACAGAGTTAGCAGGAATGGCTAACTTACATTTGCAAAATCAATCGATCCAATTTATACTTTCAGATTTTTGGCATAAATTTATCTAATACATTGAAATCAAGTTGACGAAAAAAAAAAAAAGAAAGAAAAAAACTTCATGGATATCCACTGTAAACAGTATTGCAATGTAAAAAATCATTATGACACAAATGAATAAGCAGACTGTTTCCAATAATTGTAAACTTAACAAATTAACTAATTATCTCAGATTACTTTATCAGTGATAAAGTTTGCGTAAATGAAAAAAATCCTGTTATCAATACCAAATCATTGTAATTATCGATAAGAATTCGCAATGCAATGCATATTTCTATACATCCCTATGTTTTCCACCACTTTATCTCTACCTATTTAAGTTATCAATGTAATATAGTGTAAAAGTTATTCCTTGAAAAAAAATTTTAAAAAAAAAGCATAAATTGTTGTTAGTGCGATGAAAATAAAAGCAAAAAAAAAGGAAAAAAAAAACTCTCAGGTGATATGATATTTGTTAGATTAACTTAAGATGATATTGTTATAAAAAGAAATACAATTGATGATGAATGTTGAAAACATTTAAATATGTAATCTATATTAATTATATCACTAAAATTGGATGATCAAAATTACAATTTAGGAGTATCAGACAAAGTTTGTGATAAAATATTCATCAAATGAATTCATTACACTAGCGTAAAAAGTATTCTAATCTTACTACTAACTATGCTTTAGAATGCAAAAAGCTTTTTTTTTCTTTTTTAATGATTTTTTCTTGATGCAACTAGAGTTTTCCAACATTCAGCTACCTATCACTCTTAGAGTTTTCCAACATTCAGCTACCTATCACTCTTAGAGTTTTCCAACATTCAGCTACCTATCACTTTTACTATATGAAGAACTTTTTATTTCTCATGGAAATGATAAGCAACATGTAAATTATATGCATTGGGTAAAGCACAAAATTTGCATTTAATGATAATTCAATATTTTCCATT